AGCCATCGTTTGGGAAGTGGGTTGGTTTTTTGACTTTTTGATTTTTTTGGCTATTTTAGCCTGGACTAAAAAGTTTGGTTTGGGAAGAACTTTTTGGTTTTTTTGATTTTTTTTGTGAGAGAAGAGTGTAATGATTATGGGTTGGATGTGATGTTTTGTTTGTTATGGCTAAAATAGCCTATTTTATTTTTTGTGGCTAAAATAATCAAAAAAAACCTGAAAAAACCCTCGCCAAACACAGGCTAAATTCAACTCGCAAAAATTGTGTGCCTAAGCTGAAAATGAGCTAGATATGTTGGATATCTAAAGGACACCATGGCCATGCTGATGATGCTCACAACACAAGCAATGTAACAGAGACGACAAACAATGAACCATAAAAGCTTGGGACATGTACTACATAAATCTTGTCAAAGCCTGTTGAAGCTGAAGCAAATCCATGGCCAATCCATCATACTCGGCATCTACAATCACCACCAACACTTCACCTGCAAATTGCTCAACTCCTACTTAAAACTAGGCCAACCACTCCTAGCCCACACTGTCTTCTCTCACATTCAAAATCCAGACGTTGTGTCCTTGACTTGCCTCATCTCCATCTACCTCCACCTTCAACTTCCCACCAATGCCTTCTCTGTCTTCTCCCATTTGGTCCTCTCTGGTCTCAAACCTGATGGCTTTTCCATGGTCGCTGCTCTCTCCGCTTGTGGCCGTATGGGAGACCTCAACAGTGGCAAGATAGTTCATGCCATGGCCTTCAGGTTTGAATTCTGGGGTGGGTCTGAACCACCCATTTTGGGTAATGCCCTGATCGACATGTACAGCCGAAACAAGCGAATTCAATCAGCTCAAACGGTGTTTGAAGCAATGGAAATCAAAGATGTTGCTTCTTGGACCAGCCTGCTTAGTGGTTATGTCAAGTGCAACGATCTTGAACATGCTCGCCACTTGTTTGATATAATGCCGCATAGGAATGTTATTTCTTGGACTGCTATGATTGTGGGCTACGTCAATGGGGACTCCCCAATTCGGGCACTGGAATTGTTTCGGGAGATGATGAGAGCAGATGGCGAAGAAGATTACCCAACTGCTGTTACAATTGTTGCTGTCCTCTCGGGTTGTGCTGATATTGGAGCTTTTGATCTTGGCATGTCAATACATGGTTACGTGAACAAAACCAATCTGATTGTGGATGTGGTGGTGAATAATGCTCTTGTAGATTTGTATTCCAAGAGTGGAAGACCTGAAAACACAAACGTGAGCTAGCCGGCGGGTGTGTGCCGGAAACCTCTCCGATGCCTAAGTCAGAAAACTTGACAAATAGACAAAGCTCTAAGTTCTCAGAAAGATTGTGTTCAATTACCTCCTCCAAGGTGATGCTTGTAGACTTTTATAAGTTTCCCGTGGCACAATCCTGGTAGGACTTGTATTTCTCCATGCAGAGTCCTCCTAGGATTCATACTCCAAAGGATAATGCTTATCCTTTTACACCCTCCCCCACTGCTTAAACCAAGTGGGATGGTTTTCTCCATGGCCGAACTACCACATGACCGAAATAACACTGGCTATGCTGAGCCACAGAGAAGGTCGAACTATCCTTAGCTCGGTCTTCTCATCTAACTCATTACTTCGGCTGCCCCTGTTCAACCTTGGTGTGCTTAGATCAAACTTCCAAGTAACAAGTTCTGACCGACCTAACCATAGTATGCCACGACCGGACTAACTCCGAAACCGGCCTACAAAGAACATATTGCGACCGGACTAACTCTGAGACCGGCCTAACTCCAAGTTGCCTCCGGACCGGAGTAGCTTTACTCTTCCTTGGGCCGAAGCAACTATCTCTTCTTCAGCCGGAGTAATTTCACCTCCTTGGGCCGGAATAACTTTGTCTCCCCAAGGCTGGAGTGTCCATTACGGCCATTTTACTTAGTCCTTCGCATTCTGAGCCTCAAAGCCCAACTCGCAGCTCGGCCCAATTTTTCCCAGAAATTACCCTCTCAATTAATGTATAAATAATTTTGCCACATATATATGAAGGCTAAACCATCATTGGCATTTTTTAAAACAACTCTCATTTTCAATAGATCATCAAACCTCTTCTTAAATTTAAATTGAATAAAAAATATATATACTTTTTACTCCTTTAACAGTTCATTAAATCTATTATCAAATTCAAAATTTGACTTTTCTTTTATCAAATTGATAATCAATGTCTCTCATCAAATAACTGTATATTATCGTCAAATTTTCACTACCAGATGTCCCTTAAATATCTTTTTGAATGACTACCTTATAACAAAAATTTATAAAAAAAATTATACTGACCGATTGTCCACCCAATCGACTGGTGATTTAATAAAATCACAAAACTCTGTTAGCTCCTTGAGTCAATAATTTTTATCAGAAAAAAAAAAAAAAAAACTCTTATTCAAATTTAATTAAAAAAATTAAGAGTTATTTAGAATGATCTAAATAAATGCACTTTTTAATTTTTTATAAAATGAGTTAAATTTAAAATAATATATTAAAAGAATAATATAATTTAAATAAGATAATATAATTTAAATAGAATAATAATTTTTTAGGCTTCGTTTGGGAAGCCTTGGTTGAGGTTTTTTTGGCTATTTTAGTCACAAAAAACAAAATAAGCTATTTTAGCTACAAAAAACAAAACATCACATCCAACCTATAATCATTACACTCTTCTCTCACAAAAAAAAGTCAAAAAAACCAAAAAGTCAAAAAATTCTTCCCAAACCAAGCTTTGTAACCCAAATTAAAATAGTCAAAAAAACCAAAAAAACCAACCCACTTCCCAAACCAACCCTTAACTTTCTTCAAACATGTTAAACCGCCCTTAATGTGTTGTTAGAGATGCCTTAAGAAAGAACTAGGCTAAAATATGTTTCACTACAGTTTCTGCATTCCAACGAACGAAGTCATGAATTACAGCGTCAACAACATGCCCCATCAAATAAAATCACAACCGTCTCATTTGAGAAGGGTGGACGCCACCACCTGCCTCCGATCAGTCCCATGATTACAAAGCACAGGTGCCAATGTCCACCCTCTCTTTCCCCAACAGATCAGGCAAATCTACGCCTTATTACTCTAAAACAAACAAGACCTACTAACCCTAAACCCTTAGTGGTTTGTAGTAAAACCCTAAACCTAAACTGATGCATAGTATAGCCATGGGCACATCATTAACTGAAACAACTAAAATCCAACTCTTTTTCTTTACTAGATGAGCTAAGATTCATGATTGAGGTTTGTCATGTCAGTTTAAATCATATCATGCTGAGAGAGAGAGAGATTTGGTGATTGTGAGTTGACAGATAGAGAGACAGAGAGCCATTATACGCCGCTGAATGTGGGGATGGTAGTAGAAATACGCCTCCCAATCTTGGTTTCGTGTACGGATTCACCAGAACCATCTCTGGGTGGAGCGAAGCATACTGGGAGCATCTCATCCGATCCGCACCAAAACGTGGACCTCTCGAAGTGCCTCACCAATGCCTCCCTCCCCTGACAAACAAAAGTCAAATTTACTTTATTTTAATGTCTAACTGGCCTACCAAATTAAAATAATTATAAAAGATAAAAAACATATATAAATTAGAATTTTTTTTTTTTTTTTATAAAAGTTTAAAAAAATCAAAATCCCAACTCAAACAAGACTTTTTAATCCCCAATTAAAAAAATCAAAAATTAAGAAATCAACTCATTCCCAAACAACATTTATGCATTTAACAAACATATATAGCCTCCGTTTGGGAAGTGGGTTGGCTTTTTGACTTTTTGACTTTTTTAGCTATTTTAGCCTGAAATCAAAAATTAAGAAATCAACTCATTCCCAAACAACATTTATGCATTTAACAAACATATATAGCCTCCGTTTGGGAAGTGGGTTGGCTTTTTGACTTTTTGACTTTTTTGGCTATTTTAGCCTGGGCTTAAAAGCTTGGCTTGGGAAGGGCTTTTGGCTTTTTGACTTTTTTGAGTTTTTTTGTGAGAGAAGAATGTAATGATTATGGGTTGGATGTGATGTTTTGTTTGTTATGACTAAAATAGCCTATTTTGTTTTTTGTGACTAAAATAGCCAAAAAAGCCTCCAACCCACCTTCCCAAACGGTGCCATAGTATATAAAGAAAGAGAGAAAGACTATGGTATCCACTCACCCCTTTTAAAGAGTGTATTATTTATCTGCAGCTTATAACTAAAAAAAATAACATAATTTTATACTTTCTGGGTCATAATTAAAATTTTATATATATATATATATATATAACTAAACACTACATAAAACATAATAAAAAATCTCAAAATAATGTCATAATTAAAGTAAAAAAATTAATTATAACTAAATAGAAAATGACATAATTAAAGATACATATGATAAGGAGTGTGCATTGTAAAATTCTCCATATATATATATCATAATTATTATAATTAATTAAAAATTAGAATGTGTTTAAAATTAGTATATCTGCAAAAATTATATTAGATTTGTTATACATGTTTTTGACATGAAAAATGATATAAAAAATTTTAAATTCACTTTATAAACTGAATAAATTTTAAAAGAGATGATTGGCAAAAGATTAAAAAAAGATATGAAAAAAAGTTTACTTAGATATTCTAACAAACAGTCTCATCGTTAATTTTAAAAAGGTCCAACTTTAAATCAAAAAACTTAGATCAATTTTTTAAATATAATGATGTGCTAGTTTATTAAAATATCTAAATCAATTCTTTCTTGCTCACATCTTCTCTAATTATCAATTAAACATCTTTTTTATACATGTTCTTTAATTATCAATTAAACATCTTTTTTATGCATAACTACGTCTAAAAAATGGACTATCATATAATTTTCTATATAGATCCTTATCCATTCCATACATATAATCTGTATTTCATGGAACCAAATGTCATCCTTCTACTCATTAATTACTATATAATAAAAGTGATACTGAAATTTAATTTAATGTGACCGAACACTTATATCACAAACCAGTCAAAAAGTGACTTCTTCAAACCCATTTAATCACATCTACGTCACTTGAATCACATGACATAAAATATCTATTACATAAAATATTTAAGAGCTCTAATTAACCCCTCAATTCATTCCTAATAACATAAATAGATCATGTGCAATCTCTTTCTCTTCCATCTCATAGATCAAAATAAAAATGATGTATTAGAGATGTATCACCCCTATATTATAGGAAAATGCGTTGGGGTCCAGTGGGGTACTGGGGGTCTCTCTAATTGGAGGAAAAAAATTATTATTTTTTTTTTTTTTCAGCCAATAGAAAGCCGACACCTCACTGGAAGTTGTCAGTGGAGGTCGGCTCACTGGGAGTCGGTAGCACTACTCTACATTATAAGTGGGAGAGGGTTACATAAAATATTTCAAAAATGATTTGGACCTCTAAAAAAACATCTCTAATGCACCTCTAATTTGTCTTTTTCTTCTCCTATTTTTGTCTTTTACTTCACTGTTTTTTTTTTTTTTTTTTTTTTTTTTTTTTTTCAGCCAATAGAAAGCCGACACCTCACTGGAAGTTGTCAGTGGAGGTCGGCTCACTGGGGTCGGTAGCACTACTCTATATTATAAGTGGGAGAGGGTTACATAAAATATTTCAAAAATGATTTGGACCTCTAAAAAAACATCTCTAATGCGTCTCTAATTTGTCTTTTTCTTCTCCTATTTTTGTCTTTTACTTCACTGTTTTTTTTTTTTTTTTTATATTCCCGGACAACTCATTAGAACTGTACGGAATGACCTCTAATTAGAGGTCTGTAGCAAGATTGAAAATATTTTTATAAATGGGAGAGGAGACAATGATGAAACATTGCATGGAGTTGTGAAGCAGAAGAACTGGTGCAATCATGACAATGGGCAGTAGCCATACCAACCTGGATAATAGCGCAGACAATCTGGCATATCTTGGGCGAATTGACGAAATCCCATGTTTTCCTATTACACGCCTTATGAAACTTCCACACTGCTCTTGCTTCTGTGAAATTCACAAATGCATACCCTCTCGAAAAACCAGATCTGCACCAACAAACAAACCCAACCGTTGGATGAACCTGAAGTAGACATAATTCATCCGTGACTTGAAATGCATACGATAATGTGGCAATTTTTAATGAGATGAGATTTCAAAAAAATAAAATAGTCCCATAATTTTTAACAGTGGATGAGCTTTTTTTTTTTTTTTTTTTTTTTTTTTTTAATAAAATAGCACTAAAAGACAAAACAGACTAAAATAGTCAATAAAACAAAATGTTACATCAAACCCATAATCATTTCATTTTTTTCTTTCACAAACATCACATCCAACTACAAAAAAATTCAATTATCTTTCAAAACACAAAGGGTATTTTTGGTTTGTTTTTGTAGAGTAATTTTTGAAATAAAAAGTACGAAAACTTGTTTGGTTTGTCGTTTTTCAAAAATGGTTTTGAAAAATTATTTTGGGGAGAGAGTTTTAAAAAAAGTAATTGATTTGATGTATATGAGAGAGAGTGATTTTCAAAGGTAAGTAACCAAACAAAATTTTACGATTTTTTTGAAAAAAATTTGTTTATTTTGATTACTCTTAAAAAATTGTTTTTAGTGAATTTTTTCCCAAACTTTTTCTAAAAAACAAACCAAACAAGGCCAAAAATTTTAACATCATAAAACAGTCAAAAACTAAAATAGCCTACTAAAATAACTTCTCCAATACTCACATAATATGGCCTCTTTTGGAGACTTGGCTTTTAACCACTTTTTTGAGTTTGTAGAAAAACCAAAAGGTAACTTTTTTGTATTTAAAGACATTTGAAAAGTTGATTTTTAACCATTAGTCAAATTACAATTCTACCTCTTATAGGTCAAAATGTATTACATAGGTGAAGTTATAAATAATAGGTCAAAAAAATCTATCTTTTCAAACACAAAAATTTTAACATCCTAAAATAGTCAAAAACTAAAATAACTTAGCCTCCGTTTGGCAAGAACTAAACGGGACTTTTTTAGCTATTTTAACCACAAAAGATAAAATAAGCTATTTTAGCCATAAAAAATAAAATATCGCATCCAACACATAATCATTACATTCTTCTCTCACAAAAAAAGTCAAAAAAATCAAAAAGTCAAAAAGTTCTTTCCAAACCAAACTTTTTAGCCCAAACTAAAATAGCCAAAAAAGTCAAAAAGCCAAAAAATCAACCCACTTCCCAAACCAAGACTTAGTAAAATAGTGACTTCCCAAGTACTTACATAATATGACCTCTTTTGGAGACTTAGCTTTTAACCACTTTTTTGAGCTTGTAGAAAAACCAAAAAGTATTTGAAAAGTTGATTTTTAACCATTAGTCAAATTACGATTCTACCTCTCACAGGTAAAAATGTACCACATAGGTGAGGTTATAAATATTTTAAATTGAAGGGGAGTAATTTAGTCATTTTATTGTTATTTGACATCATAAATAAATATTAAATAAAAAAATCAAAAATAACTTTTTATCAACTTCCCAAATCACTTGTCTAAAAAAATCAAAAATTTAGTTAAAAGCCAAAAAAATCACTTCTTACTATCTTCTCAAAACACTCCTATATCAATTTATCTTTTGTAATGCTAAATAGACTATAATTAATACACCTTATACCAAACACAAAAATAAAATAAACTTAAATACACATCTTAATATCAAACAAATGATTAAATCATTTTTTTCATTTATTGACTAATAAATTATTAATAATAAGAAAACTAAGCAAAATTTTACATCATGTAATATGATATCATATCGTTCATCCATATATATATATATATATATATCTCAATAACAGTAATGTTAGGTATCATGAAAAACCTTTTATGAAAATAATCATGAAAACTTTGTGACCCTTGGATTACACTTAAAATAAAACACCACACACTAATCAAGGTAATTCAAGGGTCATAAATTTTTCATGATCATTTTCAAAAAAAAATTTCATTATCCCTAACTTTTCCCATTGTTTAAACGGGTAGAACTAAGGAAAAATAAATGATCCGTCTAGTAAAGATCCTTCTAGTAACGCCATGTGACAATATCCTTATCAAATTACAATTCATCATATCCCACGAATTTTCTAATCACCAAACACAAATTCGTGAACCCCACTTCCTACAGGTTGGTTTGAGAAGTGGGTTGGCTTTTTGACTTTTTTAACTATTTTAACCTAGGCTAAAAAGTTCGATTTGGGAAAAATTTTTTGACCTTTTTTTTGTAAGAAAATAGTATAATAATTATGAATTGAACGTTGATGTTTTATTTGTTGTGCCTAAAATAATTTATTTTATCTTTTGTAACTATTTTAACCACAAATCTTCTTTCCACACGGACCCAACATTAATCACAACATCATTACGACACCATGCAACCGTATTCTAACACCAACTAATAACTTCTCAGAACTAAACTGTTATATAGAAAAATCTCAAAAGAACTTAATGTGTGCTTTTACAAATTTTTGTGTAATTTATCTTAAAATTTCTATACATAATAATATTAATCAATCTTTCACTTTAGAAAAAGAAAAGACGAAGAAACTCGTAAAAATCATACATTACCACATCAATACTAAAATGATATTATCCATAATTTTTGTAATGTTTGTTTTCTATATTACCTGAAATCCATCGGCAAATACATAAAATCGTAAGCTGAGACGACATCATCTGCTGCTTCACCAGAAGTCCTCCTTTGATTTTCCAAATTACAGTGCTCGTCAAGAAATTTCAATATCATTTCACGACTGTAAAAAAATAAAAACATCGAGTTCATAGCACAGGCAAATGAGAGAACAACCCACGTGATAAAACTAGAGAACTAGTAGAAATTTCGATAATGTTTGAGATGATTTAAATAAATATTATTTTTTGATTTTTTTAAAAAATATGTAAAAAAAAAAAATTAAAATTATGTGATATATATATATATATATATTTAGTGAATGCCAAATATTTCCTTATCCCAACAAAAGCTATTAAATGAGACACACATTACTCAACAAGCAGTTATTAAATGAGACAAAAAAATGAATATCCATCTAAAGAGAATCTAAGGATTTTTAAAAAAAAAATTTTACCAATTGCAGGTTGTTCTGAAACAGAATCTCTACTTGCTAAATTTGATCATTTTACAAAAGAACAGTAATGATGCACTTTGATCCTCTCCATTAAGGATACTCATTACACATTTAATAGTTATTTCTAAACAGAAATGTAAATTTATAATTATTGTTAAATATCATTACACTTGCAATAGAAGACAACAATCCAATAATGATATAACAATAGAAAAATTAAATAGAAAATGTATACACACTGATTACATTGGAACTTTTTTTTAATTTACAACAAAAACAACATCTAATTATTAAGGAAAACTCTATTGAAACAGAAAATTTATATAAAAAGCATTGTAAAAATAATGTGACAAATTCATTTTGTAAATAACTAGCAAATTATTTTGTTTTAAAATAAGAAGTCTAACACTTAGCCACATCATTCACTTTAGAATCATTTTTAGCATTTTCCTTTTCATAAAACCATAAAACAAAAATTAAAATTAAAACGAAGAGAACGTACTTGTACTCCTTGGGTATGTTCTTGATCATGACAGTGGTAGTTGTTTTGTCATCTTCAAGAGGAAGTACATCGTGTTTGTTCAAAAAAACCCTACTACTACTTCCCACCTTCTTATGCACCACCTGGTTCTTATCATTACGATTATTCCCAAATTTAGTAGGGTTCCGAGCCCGAGTAGTAGCACCCTCTCTTTGGCTATGTCCACCCTTCTTAGGCCTCCATTCAGTTTCACACCGCCCAACTCTCTCATTCGCCGCCTCTTCTCGTCGCACCTCACGAGATTGCTCCGCCGTATGCGGCGGCGGCGGCGGCGGCAGTAGGTGAGGGTGATGCGGTTGAATGGGGTAGGTGATGGTGGTGGTGTAGAGAGGTTGAGCGGTGGAGAAGTGAGGAGGTGGTGGTGGTGGTGGTGGTGGTGGTGGAGAATGGTAAAAGAAGGTTGGTGTGGTGGAAGGTGAGAAAAGTGGAAGAATAGAAAGATTGTGAAGTGGAGGAGGAGGTGGAAGGTCTGAGTAGGTGATTGGAGGAGGTGATCTGTGAGATAGTGGTATATAATGAGGTGCTTCAGGGTTCAAACCTTGAGCCATGAATGGGTATTAGAACTAGTAAACTGCGGAAGAAGAAGGGATTGAGAGAGAGTGAGAAAGAGAGATGTGAAGAAAGGCGCAGCGCAGGCAGATATAAATACAGACAGAAACGAGGGGAATTCTGCGCTCGTTTAAGTTTGTGTTTGGTGCAATTTACTGTAGATTAAAAGTTGATAATTAAAAAGTAAATTTTTAAAATATATTTTTTTAATATCTAAATAATTAATTTTTTTTTTAATTTATCTCTGTCATTCACCTGAGTGGAAGGGTAATGTTGAGCAAAAGGTTGCAAGCCACACCACCAGTCATGCCATAATGAGATAAGTCAAAATCTTTGAAGTAGTTTAGAAAGTTGGGTAATAATGTCACATAGTGTTTCAATACTAGTGAAATGAGTTAAATATATTTAAATCCTAATTTTTTTTTTATTCATAAAAGTTAACAAATTTAAAATTTCCAACTTAAACGATACTTTTTAATACTAAAATTAAGGTCTCTTTTGAGAAGTGGGTTAAAACTCAATTCCCAACTTTTAAAATATTACTTTTAAAATATTTTAAATCACATCATCTCTCATATTTTTTATACATTCTTAAAAAAAAATTAAAAAAATTAACTTTTAACTATCTCTTCCAAACACTCCCTAAAAATAATGAAAAAGCCAAACTCAACCCACTTTCCCAAACCAAATTTATCATACACATCTTTTACCATATCGTTCTAGTGTTTTCTTCTTTGATTAATTTTCTTTTTATAATTATGGTATTATTTTAAAACCTTTAATTATCTATTTAATATTAATTATGATACATTTTTTTTTTTTTTTTACTGTCTTTCTCCAGAAACTATACTCGGAAGGATGTGATCCTTAATTCATATCATTTCAGATCCTTAATTCATTTCATTTCAGATTTGTATAATAATCATAAAATTTTATTATTATTTTAAATTTTAAAAAAATTATTATACACTTTTGAATAATATAATGAAGATTTTTGTTTATAATTTTAAAGTAGAGACGATCACAATTTTAAAAAAATACTATTCATAAATTTATCTAAAAAAAATGATAGGGTGAAAATTAAGGGGTCATTTGGGAATTCTCTAAGCCTCCGTTTGGGAAGTGGATTGGCTTTTTGACTTTTTGGTTTTTTTGACTATTTTAGCCTGGGCTTAAAAGCTTGGTTTGGGAAGGACTTTTTGACTTTTTTGAGTTTTTTTGTGAGAGAAGAATGTAATGATTATGGGTTGGATGTGATGTTTTGTTTGTTATGGCTAAAATAGCCTATTTTGTTTTTTGTGGCTAAAATAGCCAAAAAAGCCTGCAAACCCACTTGTCAAACACAGGCTAAAATGGCTTAAAAATCAAAAAATTTAAAAATACTCAATAGTTAAAAATTCATTTACATTTACTATATTTTTTTGTACATCTTTTAATAAAAAATTTAAAAATCATCTCAAATTTATATTAATTTTTTTCATCTCATGTTTTAGCTAAAAAATTAAAAATTATTAAAACAGTCTATTCCTAAATGACCCCTAATAAATTTGATGGGCTGTGAATCTTTATTAACAATTAATTTTTACATGTATCATATGGATGGTGTGTGAAGATGGGTTTGGTATGGGCTTTCTTAGGCTTCGTTTGGCAATTTAAAATTTTAGTAAAAAAATTAAAAAGTCACTATAAGTTATTATATTATTCATTCAATTTTTCTGTACATATTTTCGTAAAAAGTCAAAAAATTACTAAAATAGAATGTTGGCAAACCAACAAAAGAGGCTAAGAAGTTAATAAAACAAAATATCACATTCAGATCATAATTATTTTATTTTTTGTCTTACAAAATTTAAAAAAACCAAAAAACAAAAACAACACAAACCAATTTTTTAGTTCAAAAAACCAAAAAACTAACTGACAAATCCAATTGCCAAACGACTATTTTCATAGGTAAGGTTTACTTTGTTTTTTAAGAAAAAGAAATGAAAAATGAAAAATTAATTTAACAAAAATAAATATTAAAACATATTTTTTTTAAAAAAAAATTATTTCTATTCTCTACAAAGATAAAATTATATAAAAATGATAAGTTTTTTTGATATTTTATTTTTTTTCACCAAATTAATTTTAACTTTTTAAGCCTGTGTTTGGCAAGTGGGTTTGCAGGCTTTTTTGGCTATTTTAGCCACAAAAAACAAAATAGGCTATTTTAGGCATAACAAACAAAACATCACATCCAACCCATAATCATTACATTCTTTTCTCACAAAAAAACTCAAAAAAGTCAAAAAGCCCTTCTCAAACCAAGCTTTTTAGCCCAGGCTAAAATAGCCAAAAAAATCAAAAAGCCAACATACTTCCCAAACGGAGGCTAAAAAATGTTTCTTAAACAAGTTTTTAAAAAATCAAGGTTTGTTTGGGAAATGGGTTGGCTTTTTGACTTTTTGACTATTTTAGCATGGGGCTAAAAAGCCTGGTTTGGAAATGACTTTTGACTTTTTTGACTTTTTTGTGAGAGAAATTATGTAATGATTATGAATTAGATGTGATGTTTTGTTTTATTAGACAAAAAAATCTATTTTATTTTTTATGACTAAAATAACCAAAAAAATCTCAAGTTGGGCTTCCTAACGAAGCCCAAATATGGCCAAATTTTTTAAAAGTTAAAAGATTAATGTATTTATGCCTTCGTTTGGCAAGTTGGTTTTGAGGTTTTTTTTATTAAAATAATCACAAAAACAAAATAGATTTTTTAGTCTAATAAGGCAAAATATCACATCCAACTTATAATCATTACATTATTTCTCTTACAAAAAAATAAAAAAAAATCAAAAGCTCTTCCCAAACTAGGCTTTTTTAACTCTATGCTAAAATAGCCAAAAAAACTAAAAAGCTAAAAAAATCAAAAAGTCAACCCACTTCCCAAACGAAGCCATGTATGTTATAAAAATAAAAAAATTGGATTTTTTTAAGTGAAACAATTGGTGTAATATTTGAATTTTTTAAGCTGATAATATGCAAAAATTGCAACGGATGAGAATTAGAATTAATATTTTATATTTTAAATTGGAATAATTAAAATTTTAAAATTTAATTTGTTATGGAATTCAAAACTTAATTTTTTATAATTTCTCAACAAAAAAAATATATATTTGAAGACGAGCCTTGTTAATATATATTTTAAGGGTTCGTTTAGAAATTAATTATTTTAGTTAATTTTTTAATTTTTTACGAAAAGACACGTAGAAAAAGTGAGGAAAAATAATGAATGCTCTTTTAGTTTAGCTTTGAGAATCAATTTTGAAAGATAATTTTTTTAAAAGAGTTTGCAAAATTTAAAATTTGTTTGATTTATATTTTAAAAATAGTTTTTTGAAGGGTAAATTACATTTACCTTCCCTGTGATTTGAATAATTACAGTAATCTCCCTTACTTTACCTAATAATGTCAAGATTCCTCCAAAATTTGACCGCCATTTATACACCTGACCGACCTTATGTCATCAAATGTAAACACTAAAATACCTATAATGCCCTCAAATGCCTAATTCACGAATTTCCTAGATTTTTGTTCTATTGTAAAGAGGAAATTATTGAGGGATCATTTTTCATGAACTCATATACCCAAAAATGTTTTTAAATTTTTTTTTATTTTAAATATATAATTTTTAATTAAATATTTTTATTTTATTTGTAAATATTTTAATTTTTTAATTTTAATATTTTAAACTCAAAACATAATTTCACACTCAAATCATAACCAAACACATAACTCAAAATTCAATTCAAAAATTATTTTCAAACATCATAATTACCAAACATATAACTTGAACTCAACATTATTTTCAAAACTTTACACTCAAATCATAACAAAACACATAACACAAAAATTAAAATATTTAAAAATATATTTATAAAATAAAATATTTAAAATAAAAAATCTATATTTTAAATAAAATTATATATTTAAAATAAATAAAATAAATAAGTTTTTTTTAATATTTAAAAAATATGTTTAACATAAGTTTGTATTTTTTTTTAAGTTTGTGTTTGGTTATGAGTTTTGAAAATAATTTTTGAATTGAATAACACAACCATTAAACTTAATTCAAAAATTATTTTCAAACCTCATAACCAAACACATAGCTCAAAACACCACATTATTTTCAAAACTCTACACTCAAATCATAACAAAGCACATAACAAAAAAATTAAAATATTTAAAAAAATATTTATAAAATAAAATAAAATATTTAAAATAAAAAATATATATTTAAAAGAAAAAAATAAAATTTTAAAATTTTTATAATATTTAAAAAATATAGTTAACATAAGTTTGTATTTTTTTTAAGTTTATGTTTAGTTATGAGTTTTGAAAATAATTTTTGAATTGACTTTTGAGTTGTACATTTTGAAAAGGGTTTTGAAA